CATGAATTGGATTCTTCTCTAGAGGTCTGTGTTAAGGGTCCATGCCTCGCATCCATACATGAAGACAGAAACCACCACAGTTGTCTGCGTGACAAAGTTTTCTTAATTTCCTTAATACTGTTGTTTTCTGGGCACATCTTGCAAGTATTTCCTTCATCAGATAGTATGGCGTCGAGGTACTTGAATAAATGAACATCCTCCAATCTTTTGCCATGTATACTTTAAATTTGTCTGCCATAATACCATTTGGGTTGTGGTAATGATCATTGTCTTCATTACAATTATTGTCCAATTTACAAATTCTATCAACTTGTCTACACTGTCTGCAATGGCATCCATGTCTTCCGCGAATCGTAGGTTGATTACAATCGTCCGCCGATGCTGACTGAGACTAGATGGTTTTCCAAGGCGTATGTCAAGATACTTTCTAGTTGGATGATGAAAAGGATAGGAGTGAGAAAGCAGCCTTGCCTGACGCCTACCAAAGTCCTAAACCATTCACCTTTATTGAATTGGTGTTGAAAACAACTACGCTGTTGGCTCTCTCGTTAAAAAAATATTAATACTTTAATGCACAATACATATATGGACATACAAATAAAGAAAACTATGAAATGAAAACGTCAATGGACACAAGCGAGAAAAGTCTCAAAGGTATTTGAGAGGTGCATAAATTAATTTAAAAATATTGCACGGCGTAGTTACAATTAATATGGTTATAAAATCCTGTCTGTCTGGTTTTTTTCGGACTTTACTAAAGATTGGACGTATTTGATGTTTTAATATTTTCGGTAACTAAATAAAAATTTAAAAAAAAAAGCAAAAACAATTTGGTTTTCACGTGTAATGGCGACATAAACAATGGCATCCTGCTATTGGATAGGCCGACATAAATTTTATTGTACACATTGTAAGCTAAAAATAGAAAACTAGGTCATGAGGTTTTAAATTTGCATTGTTATTTAAAAACTTGATCTGCAAAGTTTTGTAAACAAATAGTTATCGATCACTAAGTTACTGTACAACCAATCAATATTTGTCTTACGAAAGTGAAACATCCGGTTATAACTTAGGCTTGATGAAAATAAATAGAAATGTAGCCTTAAACTCAACAAATTATTTTCAAGTTCTCTGGATTTGCAACTTTTATAGCATTTATTCTAAAAATATAAAATTTCTAAATTAATTTTAGGCTTAAGTTTTTATTTTTTATTTTTTTTTTACGGTCTAAATCTAAAAAGCACGTTTTTATTCCATGTCAACAACACTATGGAAGGAATCTCGTCAACTCGCTTGTCTCCATTGTAGTTGCACTCACCTAGAGAAATGAACGTGAGAATCAAAACAAGAAGGGTGAGTAGGAAAGTCACGTTCATGATGCTATCTTTGAGATGACAAAAATCTTTTGGTAGATAACTTTAGCCGATTCTGTCTTTTACAGATTCTGTGTGTTAGACAAAAATTAATTAAACGTTTTTAATATACAGTGCGCGAAGCTCAACAGCAGCTTGACTGTAGTCACATGACTGTTCGCTAAACCATCTGTTTTTACATTGATTTGTATCAGGACCGAACCTAGAAACAGACAGAACTGGGCCCCTATAAATGATCAGACTAATATATATATATATATATATATATATATATATATATATATATATATATATATATATATATATATATATATATATATATATATATATATGTATATATATATATATATGTATATATATATATATATATATATATATATATATATATATATATATATATATATATATATATATGTGTGTGTGTGTGTTGCATTTTCTAATAGAAATTGAGGACATTTGTGAAATCTCCTACACATTAGACAATAATCACTTTTACTAGATAAAGCTAATTCGTTTTTTCTTTCTTAATTTTTTTACTTTCTCGTATACGAAGTATACAGGAGGTATTGTAATCGTCCAAAAAATTGAAATCGAGATTTTCATTCGAAGTTTTATACCTCCCTGACACGGAAAAATATAGTTTGGCAATTTTGTCGATATGTCCTTGAACACGATAACTAGAGCACCGTTACAGCTAGGTTGATAAAATTTTATATATAACTATATATCGGATTTGTAGTTCTCTGTAAACTTTTTAGCAATTTCTGGTAAAAGGAAATGAAACTTATTCTTCTTTTCGTTTTTCATAAGCCTTTAACTTGAGTAATTTTTTAGGTAAATATAAGACTTTTAATATATAAGTAAAAGATTTAATTTTTACCTGCTTTTTAATTTGTAGTAATTTCCGTTGATCGGAAGTAGTACTGTACGCTATTTCCGATTTCTCAAAAACGACTATTAATTTATAGTTTTAATACCCGCACGATTATACACATATTGTTTGACTTTCACTTATTGAGCAATTCTATTTTTCTTTATAATATTCTATTCTATTTTAAAAAGTATTTAAAAATAATTTCAAGTCATGTCTATATCCCGAGTTGTCATCCCTCGTAACGTTATATAACAATATTTGAGAAAGTTTAGGGGAGATCACTCCCACTTTATTTTTCTCTATCTTTGGTGAAAAAAAAAGCTTAAGTGAGAGAATGAAAGGGGGAAATAATTCGCCGCATCCTAACCTGCACGACACCATTGACCACAACCTAACCCATCCCAAACTCCTCACCATTCGTCCCACCCTCCAACCCACCAGGTTACCAACATTACACATCTCAATAAGCCTCGCAAATATACCCCACTAGCCGTCGGTACCCTTTACACGTGAATTACAGACCTATATATTTTAATGGTATACATGTTTGAGAAAAATATTTTATAAAACAGTTTTTGGTCAAAACGCAATGTGCTTTACTACACGTTGAACAATATTAGTGATCCTGAAAAGAAATAACTAAATAGCTAAACATCCGACACATTTAAAACCAAATTATATACATTATTAGTCAAGAGAACATCATTTTAAATGCACACACTGATTAAGAGACTTCAAATGATTCCGTTAAAAACCCGGCTATTCAATGGTAATTATGTTGTTTTTTAAAGCAATTTTTATTAGTTTGACCGAGAAAATTGTATATATTTCATAGCGTACTTCTTAATTAGTAGATCAATATATCTAGATCTAAATCGAATTTGAATAGTTCTTTTCTTTATATTCTAAAATTAGAAGATGTCGCCTTTAGTGTTGTGTTCTTTCCATAGTGTAAACATGTGGCATGTGACGTCATTGTTAATCGCGTTCTTGTCACAACTATTAACACTTTTCCTGTTGTATAATCAAAATTGTATTTCTACATTCGAATATGCCTTTATTTTTATTTTCCTTCTTTAGCTAAAATTTAGTTTATACATTTAAAATATCCAACATAATTTTCAACAAAAGTCTTATCAAGTTTTCCATATATCGCTGAAGATACTGATATGATAGCCTGTGAAAATATTTTGCGGACAGAGAGAGAGAGAGAATTGCGCAAATAGTCTTTTATATATTAGGATACCCTCTCACTCACCCCACATAAAACACACGACTCTCCACACATCACACCACATACATAATCGACACGCGAGGTAATCCAAACCCAACAACACCTCTCTCCACACCCGCACAAAACAACACCCCGAACAAAAGCCCACATAATCCTGACCAACACGTCAACACACGCTCTCAGATCAACTCAAACAACATACACTAAATCCCATTCACTACCCCGACTCACCACCCACTACCCCACACAGCACAACACACAACTCAACACAATAATCGCACATTTCACACCCAATGCTTACTATGAACAGTTCATTAGTCTCCCTGTTGTGTGCTAGTGGAAAATAAAAGGCTGCACTAGGTATTCATGTAGTTAATATAACTCTAATCGCATGCTACTCAGTGATGTACTTAAGGTCGTAGGCAAGATCGTGGGCTGCAGTAAGAGTCCCCTGATATTTAGGTACCCCCAAACTTACTGCTTACTTGTTGGTTTTCAAGATGAAAAATAAAGATTTAATTTTGCATCACAAGCTTCATTTTTTTGTTCAAAATATCTAACACGTATACACACTTAAGTTTAAACAACAGCTGTCATCACCTCCTACCTAGACGACGCTCCATAAAATAGCACATTCCCGACCAACGATCGCTTATGACCAAAAAAAATATTAGTTGTTCAATTCTAAATAACGGTGAATATCCAAACCATCAGCTTTTCTCTAAATTTACAAATACGAAAGTATGAGATTTTTTTTCTTCCATGAAAATAAACGTTTGCTTAGAGCTGGTAACTCAGAAACTGTTCAAACCAGACTCGAAACTGGGACAATTCTCATTGCGATTATGTCCTACTCATTTATATCATATCTTCACTTTTGGAGCCAAATTTTGCAAGAAATTGACAATATGCACAAGCATGTATCGACACTGCTGTTAACTTTTGTTAAACAATGCAATCAGTGCAGAAATTTCGTGTCCAGCGAAAAAGCCAAATTCCTCGAGAGGAAGCAAGCGATGTTAGATTCATTTAGTTACAATAAATTCATTGTGAACTGCTAGAAATCATCAATAATTTGCGTACAGAAATATATATGTGGATTTTTCTCGCTTTTTGAATTTTTTATTTAATCTGCAAACAATGACATTCTTGCAGCATGCGAAATTCTCTCAGAACTCTATGACGAAATTAGTGCAGATAATTTGTTTCACAAAATCCGAAATCTTTGTTGCATATTCAAAATGTTGAAGAAATGACTGACAAAAAAGCAAGAATAGGAAAATTTTGAAGTTGAAGAGTTTTTCACTACTCAGATTGATCAAATCATATGTAAGGTCTACCATGAGGCAGGCTAGACTATCAAACTTGGCGATGTTGTCAATAGAAAGACACCAGGCTGAAACTATTAGTTTTGATTCCGTCATCCGCAATTTTTCTGCCAAAAAGTCACTCAAAATAAATGTATAGGTGACATTTGTAGGACAAAAACATATTACAATACAAAAATAAGACTTAACTTAAGTTTTTTATAATTTTAATTTCCTTTTTTGAAGATTTTCTGTGCAAGAGAATGTTTTAATTGACTAATTATTATCATTAATGTGTATCGTTAAACAGTAAATTGATTAAAATGACAAATTATTATTTTATTCAATGATCACAAACATAAGGTATAAATTAAAATTCATTTTCAGCATTTTGGATCACCACCCTTGGCGACACCTTCTTTTGGTACGTCATTAATTCCCTGCATTTTCATGCTCGTGTCGATCGCTTAAAGATTGCTCGTTGTCCTCAGCTGGTTCTTCAGCGTCCCTTCTCCCGAGCCGGAGCATGTGCATTGGCCGTTTGACCAGCGTGTATTCATCCTCCGATTGCTCAGATGTTCCCCCTATGGAAGACAGAGAAAAACAATGATTGGTGCATAAATAACAAAGGATTGTTAACACTGCAGTAAAAACCAAAGAGAATAAAAATTTAATTCTCCGCCATCCATCTCTGTCTTCTGCCACTTTGATTAGTTCCGAGATAGTCAGGCCAGTCAGATCTTTGATGTGATCCATCCAATGTCGTCTTTGTCTTCCATTTTTGTGTGCAGTGCCTTGCAATATTGTTTTAGAAAGTGATTGGTCATTTCATCTTGTAATATGAGCATACCAAGTCAAGTGTCTTTTACTTTGCTCAATACTCTCAAAGACGACCGATCGCATAAGTAATCATTTCCAGGACTTCTTCGTTTTTTATGTGATCTCTGTTTGATTGTATGAAATCCTTAGGAGGCACAGTAAACATCTCATTTCCATAAATTGGATTCTTCTCTAGAGGTCTGTGTTAAGGGCTAATGCCTCGCATCCATACATGAAGACAGAAACCACCAGAATTGTCTGCGTGACAAAGTTTTCTTAATTTCCCTAATACTGTTGTTTTCGGGGCACATCTTGCAAGTTTTTCCTTCATCAGATAGTATAGCGTCGAGGTACTTGAATAAATGAACATCATCCAATCTTTGGCCATTAATACTTTAAGTTTGTCTACCATAATACCATTGGGGTTTTTAGTTATGATCATTGTCTTCTTTACAATTACTGTCCAATTTACAATTCTATCAACTTGTCTTTACTGTCTGCAATGGCTTCTATGTTATCCGCGAATCGTAGATTGGTTACAATCGTCCGCCGACGTTGACTGAGCTTATATGGTCTTCCAAGGCGTATGTCAAGATACTTTCTAGTTGGTTATTGAAAAGGATAGGAGAGAGAAAGCAGCCTTGCCTGACACCTGCCAAAGTTCTAAACCATTCGCCTTTATTGGTGTTGAAAACAACTACGCTGTTGGCTCTCTCGTTAAAAAAATATTAATACTTTAATGCACAATACATATTTGGACATACAAATAAAGAAAACGATGAAATGAAAACGTCAATTGTAGTTGCACTTACCTAGAGAAATGAACGCGAGAATCAGAACAACAGTGGTGAGTAGGAATGTCTTCTGCATGCTGGTTTCTTTGAGATAACAAATATCTTTTGGTTGATAAATATTGCCGATTCTGTCTTGTACGGATTCTGTCTGTTAGATATTACAATAGGTAAATGATTTAATATACTGTGCGCGAATCTCAATAGGGGCTTGAGCTATAGTCACATGACTAGTCGCTAAACCATCTGTTACATTGATTTTTATCAGGACCGAACCTATAAACAGTCAGAACTGGGCCCCTATAAATGATCAGACATATATATATATATATATATATATATATATATATATATATATATATATATATATATATATATATATAATATTTATTAGATATATAATATATATAATATATATTTTGCTTTCTCTAAAAGAAACTTAGGACAGTTGTGAAGTCTACTTCACATTTGACGGTAATCGCTCTAATTAGAGAAATCTAATTATTTTTTTTTATTATCTTATTTTCCTTATTTTCGGTTTAAAAAAAACTAAGGAGAGAGAATGAAAGAAGTGGAAATAATTCACCGAATTCCAACTGCATGACACAACAAACCACAACCCAAAAGAAACCCCTCACCACTCGTCCAACCCTACAACCCACAAAAGTACCAAAACGACACAGTAAAAAAGCCGCGTCCATATACCCCCCCCCCACCCCCACTCAACTAACACCATACACACGACTCTCCACACATCACACCACATACAATACGTAGTCCAAACCCAACACCACCTCACTCCACACCCGCACGAAACCATAAACCACACCCCGAACCAAATCCCACACAATCCTAGCCAACTTGCAACACACACCCTCACAACAATTCTAACAAAATACACTAAAACCCACACACTCCCCCGACCCACAACCCCATAGAGGACAACCCTCGTTTCACCACAATAATTGCGAATTTCACACCCAATGCTTACTATGAGCAGTTCGTTAGTCTCTCTGTTGTGTGCTTGTAGAAGATAAAAGGCTGCACTAGGTATTCATATCTTTGATATCATTTCAATGGTATGCTATTCAGTGAACTCGAGCGAATGATAATTATGGGTCTATGCATTGGTTTATCAGAACTACACTCGGTTAGGCCCAAAATATAACACTACACATTTATACCTAAAAATCACAACAACGCGGTTTTACCCAAACAATAACAAAACAATGCGTGTATACCAAAACAATAACATAACAACGTGCTTATACCTAAACAATATGCACAACGTGTTCATACCTATACAGCACATGTATGTCAGAAAAATAATACAACAACGCTGGTATACCCAATCAATAACACAACAACGCGTATATACTCAAACAATAACAGAACGCTGCATACTCAAGCAATAACATAACAACGCCTGTATACCCAAACAATAACACAACTCACAACCACTCAAACAACATACACTAAAACCCACTCAATCCCCCGACCCAAAACCCAACAGAGCCCAACACACATCTCACCACAATAATCGCACATTTCACACCCATCGCTTTCTATGAACAGTTCGTTAGTCTCCCTGTTGTTTGCTAGTAGAAGATAAAAGACTGTACTGGGTATTTATATCTTTCATATCACTTCAATCGCATGCTATTCAGTGATAGACTTAGGGTCGTAGGCAAGCTCGTGGTATGTTTTAAACACTGTTACCATCACACTCACCATCTAGTGTTATTGCTCCTGTTTCCTGGTCGAGCATTGATCGAATTATTAAAACTAAAAAAAGATTATTTTTTTTATTGTGGATATTCATAGTGGGTAATCTGCTACTGCTGTCAGTAGCTGACTAGGGGGGGGGGGGCTAAGAGAGCTGCATTCAGGGCCCCAATTTTTAGGGGCCACCACATTTACTGTTTAATTGTTGGTTTACACTATAAAATTGAAAGTTTTAATGTTTGCATCACAAGCTTCATTTTATTCAAAATATCTAACGCGTGCACACACTTAAGTTTAAATGAATGTAAGAAAAAAAAGTCACAGAAAAAAAAGGAAAAAAAACACAGAAAAAAAAGTCACACGAAAAAGGTCACAGGAAAAAAAAGTCACAGGAAAAAAGTCAGAAATATATATTTGCATGAAATTTGTTAATACTTTTATGTATTAGATATTCAGAGAGTGCAAATAAACTTACGATTAACTAAATGTAACGTGTGTAGGTTGTATACGCATGGTAATTTTTATAATTCATCTAAACATATTTAGTATGAAGTTTGTAGATTGTAGTTATGTTAAAAATAATATTAATAGCATTTAATAGAATGTTCCAACGTCCTGTTTTCATCGTGTGTTTTTTTTAATACCAACATTAAATTACCGTGAAATAGTAAGTTCTTCTGACTTGCTGCCCTCAACTCATCGCTCGCAACAATAGTTATGATTAGTTCAACCACCTTTACTGCCCACATTTATTACGCTCCTTACATAACAAAGCATGGGATCAAAACAAAGAGCCGACAAGGTTCAAAGGCTGACATTGACACAAAATACCAACAACACACAATATGTTCGGACAAGGCCGGCTGAGGAGAGGCCGACCAAGAATAGCCTATGGCAAAACATATGCAAAACACAATGATGTGCCTAAATTTCTTTTACAATTAACTTTTCTTCCACGTATTTAATTAAATACGTAACAAAGGTTGAGATTGTTGTGTAAATTATTTAAGAGTATTTTTACTTTCAATTATTATAAACCATAATGATTTTAAAGTCTAGAAATAATATATGCCACAACAATAAACATACCCAATTTTATAATTCTAAATAAATAAATCAAAATATTTCTGAAAAGATTTTTGTGACTTTTTTTCTGTAAATTTCTTTCTGTGACTTTTTTTCCGATAAAATTTTTTCATTGTGACTTTTTTTCTGTGACTTTTTTTCCTAACAAAAACTGTGACTTATTTCTGTGTTGTTTTTTTTTCTTGTGACTTTTTTTTCCGTTCACCGTTTAAATACCAGCTGTCATCACCTCCTACCTAAACATTATATAATGCTGACGCTCCCTAAAATATCACGGTCCGGTCAAGAGATCGCTCAGGACGAAAAAAAATGAGTTGTTCCCCATTAATAAACTTCACAATGCCCCGTCCCTCATTGCCTGTCGTCGCTTTCTGCTCGGAAACTGTTTAAATAAAGCGATGCTACCCAAAATATTATTCATTTTATTTCTGGCAAACAATTGGATGATCAACTAGTTTCAGGAAATAAAACACCGAACCTTAACAAAACAGACTAGGAAAACGTGTTTTACTTCAACATGTGGTTGTATGAGTTATCAGTCTAAAAGCTTTAAAATGGCACTTTAATCCAAACGTTTTAAAAAGGCAGTAAGTAACCTGTTTTCAATATTAGTTATTTGAAGTGAAAGGTAGGTTAGTATAATTGCTTTATTTGCCGAATTAATGAGAACTAAAACAGAAACTAAACGGCAGATGGGAGTTACAAACCATATGGCAAGGATTATCTCAAGAGTATAGACTATTTAGTTGTAAGGCTATAGCTCATTGACATTTACAAATACCAAGGTATAAGAAAATATAGGTTTGTCCCTTAGTCGGACATCAACGCCCAGGCTCTACAGTGCAAACTGTAGCGGTCATCACTTCGTGTCAATGTTTATTTAACGTCAGCTCAGCTCTCCCTAAAATAATAAATATTTTTCTGATTGATCTTGCTTACCCTATAAAATACGAACACTAAGTATATTACATCAGACTAGCTAGGCTTAATTTTGTACGATTTGCAAATGTACGGTGGACTGATCATACATACTAAAATAATATAAATAATGTAAAGTGATTTATTTATTATCATAACCGTATTGTGTCTTCCATTGATCTAGACAAGCAGTACTATAAATCTAACATGTTTACAACAATAGGCTTATTTTTAAATAAACCGGGAGTGATCTCCCCTAAACTTTCTCGAATATTCTTTTATAAAATAACAGGGGATGGGAACTCGGGCTATAGACATGATTTTTAATCCATTTTAAATACTTAAAGTTTTAAAAATAGAATAAAATCTCGTAGACAAATTAATTGCACACCAAGTGAACGCCAAATAAAAAAGCGCATAATAGTGCGCAATATTATTATTACTTTTAAAATTTACATTAGTTTTTTGAGAAATCGGAAGTAGCGTAAAGTACTACTTCCAGTCAACGGAAATGACTCAAAATTTATTAGAAGGTAGAGAATTAGATCTTTCACTTACGTATGAAATTTCATTTATCTATCTGAAATAGTACTCAAGTTATAGGCTTTTGAAAAATTCAAAGTAGGAAAAGTACCACTTCCGGTTATCGGAAATCGCTCAAAAGTTGATACGGATCTACGATTTTGATAAAATACTTATATATGAAATTTCATCAACCTAGCTGTAACGGTACTCAAGTTATCGTGTTTACACACGGACACACAGACACACAGACACACACACACACACAGACATACGTACAAGATTGCAAAATTATGTTTTTCCGTATCAGTGAGGTGTAAAACGTCGAGATTTGTAAAAATCTCGATTTTTTTTTTTTTGCACGATTACAATACTTTCTCTATACTTCGTATATACGAGAAAGTAAAAAAGGAATGGACGGATTTTTTCAAATTTTCTATCTGAATCAAATTTTCGTATACGATTTTCAACAGATAAGCAATAATTAAACACGATTTTAAAAGTATGGTAGTTGTAATATCAGGGTTGTTACACATTCATCCTGGATTTATACTCCTCGAGTAATAGAAGTTGTGAATTGATATTATTCTCCTGTTTGTTTCGCAATTTAAGCCTAATTTTTTTTATTAAAATCATTTTTAAACACATTCCTACCTAAACATGCTAGATAAAAGCGTCGCTAGACTATTTGAGCTTTGTTAGTCAACGCGATATGGCGCTAGTATTTAAATATTCTGTAAATATTCATGATTGTTCCACGTAAGGTGGTTTAAGATGTTCAATGTTTTCTTCCATACGAAGAGCTTTTCTAAAAGTCATTTTTCGTCACTTTTAATTACATGCAGGGGGGGGGGTGTGGAACGGTAGGAGGGCTACATATTACCCCGGGCGCCGACCCTAGGGCGCCAAAATGGGTTGGGAAAAAAATTAAAAGCTCATTTTAACTGTAATTTTGAAT